AAAAAAAAAAAAAAGAGTTTTAAAAGAATCTAATGTCTCTGGGGGCCAGAGGGTAGGTTCTTGGATACTGTCAGGAAGGAGGGAATATAATGACTTAGCAGCAAAATTATGACTCCATTGGCGGCAGTAGGCAGCTGCTCCTAGAAATTTTCATAGTTGTTTTTGAGTTTGGAGAAGGGGAATAGACAAAATTGACTGAAGATGTTTTGGGGTGAGTTTTTGAGTGCCTTGAGATATTTCATGCCCTAAGTAAGTAACAGTGGTCTGTACCCACTGGAGTTTAGACTTAGAGGCTTTACGGCCTTTCTTAGCTAGAGCTTTTAAAAGAATGAGAGAGTCTAAGAGGGCACCTTGTTTAGTTTGATTACAGAGTAGAAGATCATCAATGTATTGAACTAGAGTGGACCCATGCTTAAAGGTTATAGAGTCTAGATCACCCTTGAGAATTTGAGAGAATATTAAGGGAGATTCACAATATCCTGGGGGTATTCGGGTACAAGTTAATCATCTCCCTCTGAAGGTAAATGTAAAGAGAAATTGTGAGTCAGGGTGTAAGGGAATTGAAAAGAAAGCTGAGCAGAGATCAATTACTGTAAACCAGGCTGTACTAGCAGGAATGGAGGTAAGTATTGTAGCTGGATTAGGAGCAACAGAGTGTTGAGGGATTACAAAGTAATTTGTGGTTCTCAGATCTTTTTTTTTTTTTTTTCAAGCTATCCTCCTGGGTAGAGTGCCATGGCATCACGCTGACAGCAACCTCCAACTCCTGGGCTCAAGCGAGTCTCCTGACTCAGCCTCCCAAGTAGCTGGGACCACAGGCGCCCGGCACAGCGCCTGGCCATTTTTTGGTTGCAGCCATCATTGTTGTTTGGCGGGCCCGGGCTGGGGATTCGAACCCGCCACCTTAGGTGTATGTGGTTGGCGCCTTAGCCGCTTGAGCCACAGGCACCGAGCCGGTTCTCAGATCTTGTACAAACCGGTAGATCTGGTTTCCATCTGAATCAAATTTTCTTTCCTTTTTTTACTGGTAGAATTGGGGTGTTACAGGGTGAGCTAGTGAAAATGAGTACTCCCTGCTGTAAAAGGGAGTCTATTATAGGTTCAACTCCCTGTTCTGCATCTCGTGAGAGGGGGTACTGAGCTACCGAAGGAAAAGGTTTGTTCTTTTTCCAGGAGATGCTTACAGGCTCTGCGCTTAGTAGTAATCCAACTTCATTTACATGTTTTGCCCAAAGGCTATCTGGGACATCCTCTAGGATTGTGTCATTATGGGAATTTAAATTAGAATGGATTTCTATTAAGGAGAGTAAGAAGTCTGGAGTTTGATCTTAGGGCAGAGAAATAAAGATACCATTTTCATTACATTGTAAGGTAGCATTAAATTTATATAACAGATCTCTACCAAAAAAGGTTTGCTGGTGAAGAATCAGATATTACAAAGGCATGGTGAATATTTAGAGGACCTAGAGATACAGGAGTAACTTGAGAGATAGGTAACGAAATAGGTTGTCCGGAGATTCCAATAGCTTGAATAGAATTAGAGGCGAGAGGTAGAGACAATTCTTCCGATGAAATGGTAGAATTAAAATTGTCAATTAAAAATTCCAGTTCCCGATCCTCTACTTTGAGTTTAATGGTGGGGTCTGGGGTGTGACTGAGGATCGGCTGTCCCTGTCAATCAACTGGATATTGTTGTACAGGAGAAAAATTAACTTTTCTGAGATTTGGGGAGGTTTATCCTGGCGTTTTCCTTTTTCTTAAGGGCTGGACAGTTAAATTTCCAATGTCCAGGTTTTCTGCAGTATCTGAAGACATGTGAAGAAACTAAACAAGATGATCTTAATTTATTTTCAGAGAACTGTTTTTGCTTCTGCAATGATTCAATTTGTAAAGCAAGGACTGTGGATTTTAGATCTTCCTTTTTCCTGTTTTTTAGTATGTTATTTTCAAAAAACTGGGTATCTGCTTCTAACACTTAGAGGTTGATCAGTCCAGCCAACTATACTATTTTGAATTTGTTTTTATTTTTACGTCTGGAAGTAAATGTCCAACTATGGCAGAATTTTTTTTTTCTTTTTTTGCAGTTGTTGGCCGGGGCTGGGTTTGAACCCACCACCCTCGGTTTATGGGGCCGGCGCCCTGCCCACTGAGCCACAGGCACCGCCCTGCCCACTGAGCCACGGGCACCGCCCTACTATGGCAGAAATTAAAAGATTGCTATGCTCTGGTGCCCCAGGATCTAATAGTGTCTGCCTTCAGAAAACTTGGATGAATCTTTCAATAAAGGCTTTAGGATGCTCTCCTTCCTTCAGAGCACATAATTCAAATTTAGACCAATTTACTTTAGGAGGGAAAGCTTCTAATATTTCCCCTAATAGACCCTGAATGTCAGCATTTAGCTGAGCAATTTCTTGGTCATTCACAGGGGGTCCTGGAAGAGGATCTGGCCACCTGTTCCCTCTATGGAGAGGATCTTCTCCAAGGGGCCCTCTGGCTTGTCAAATGACTGCAGTATAATTGTGTGTGTGGAGAACACCTCTTTGCATCCAGTCATGATCTCTGTGAGTGGGATTATAAATGGTTATAAGCCTCTCTAATTCATTTCTAAATTTGGTGGGCTCTTCTGAAAGTGCAGGCCAAAGGGTTTTGTAGTTCAGAAGATGTGCTGCAGTCCAGGGGACATGAATGCTCTGTGGGGGAAGGCCTGGATACGTTCTTAAAGGACACTGCACAGGCAGGTCCAGGGCTGATGGAGTTAGATTACACAGCCCTGGGAGATAAGAGGCATTATATGGCATGGAATACCGAGCTTTACTTTGTCTCTGTACCAGGCCTACTTCTTGCTTATCAACTTTTACGCAATCGGCCTGTATGTTCTTGGATTGTAAATCAGGCCTGAGGGCCTTCTGTAAATTTTGGAGAGATACAGAAATTAAGTTAGTCAACTGGTTATCAACACAGTTTCCTGAAAAGGTTGGGGTCAAAATAGTTTTAAAATCTCCTAAAGACGATTGTTGAGGAATTTGGGTTGGATTTTGAGGTTCATTTTGGCCAGGAACCCAGTGATCCAAAAGATCTTCTGGGGGATCAGGAACAAGTAATTGAGGATAGAGAGGAGTACAAGTTGGAGGGAGGGGGGTTTAAGGTGGAGACAGATTTTAACTTTTGTTCTAATTCAGATTTCTGCTCTTCAGTTTTTTTGAAAGGGAGTTTGTAAGGCTAGCCACAACACTGATGTCTGTTTTTCTTTCAATTTGATCTTCCCATGAATATAAATAAGGCAATTGCTTAGGATGAGAACTCTCTAGTGTAGGAGACGCCAAGAGCCAGATGACATCCGAGCAAGATGATCTGCAGCTGAGGCGTGGACCTCGGGCCATTCCTTCACAGGAGTTCCTTGTGGAAGAAGAGCTCCTGCCCTCAGCACGCAGTCATTGTTAATTACTCCCCTCACCTGTATCATTCCCTTTCAATAAAAGGCTGGTGCGGCAGTTGCTCTGGGCTACCCGGAAAGTAAGGGCTAGCCCGCCTTCCACAGGCTTGTACTTCTAATCCGCCTCTCGCCTGGTACCTTCCTGCGCTAACCGAGACCAGGGCCGTAGGAGCCCGACGGGTTGCGACATTTTGGTGTAGTTGGCAGGATATAGCGGGACACAACAGGACACCAGGGACATGGACCAAAGGAGACAACACCCGGATGTAGGTGAGGCCTTTGGTAGACAGTGGAAGGAAGTCCAAAGGGAAACACACTCAGGGAAAGTGGGACCTTTGGCCAATTTAGAAATTAAGAAACCGCGCTCAGAATAAGTAAGGTGTCTGATAAAATAAGCAAAGACATGGGTAACTTTCTGTTTGGGCAGTCGCGGGAAGTAGAAACTGAGGAAGAAAGCGATGTTCAATCAGTATCTGAAAGCGAGGGTAGGGAGGTTCTGTGGGAAACTGGACCTAAGAAAAATTGGGAAGCGAGAGCATATGATACGGATATGAATGAGCAAGTAATCAGCTCTATGACCACTATGGCTGAACAAATTAAACAATTGGGAGATCAGATAAATAGTCTCACTGTCAGAAATGCTAACTCAGAGCACCCCGTTTTGCCCTCAGCACCTCCCTATGTAAACAAGCCGCCTGTGACTTCTGTTATGAAGGCTGTATTAGAAGGGTGTAATACTGGTGACTTTGAGTGGGAAAACACTTCGGGGCTTTTTCCGGTTACAGTCACTGACATTCCTCCTGATCTGCAACACCCTCAAGGGGGCCAGCGTTTTGACCACCATATGATCACCTTTTTGGCTCTGAAAGATTTGAAACAAGCTGTAGCACAATACGGTATGCAGTTCCCATTTTCCAGCGGTCTGTCACAGGGGCTTGCACAGGAACAGCGGCTCATTCCCTATGACTGGGATATGATAGCCACAACTGTTCTTGAATCTGGACAGTATTTACAGTTTAAAACCTGGTGGAAGGAGAAGGCTGACCTAATGAGTCGCCAAAACCAACAGAGAGGCATCCCAATAACATCTGAACAGCTCACTGGGTCTGGGCAGTGGCTAGGGATTCCCAATCAGCTTCAATACAATGACATAGCCGTAGTCCAGACAAGACTGTGTTGTTCTAGGGCCTGGGAAAAGGTTCAGGCTCCTGGAGATGTCTCTAAATCTTTCATTAAAATAATGCAGTCGGGAAATGAACCTTATACTGACTTTCTAGCCCGACTAAAAACTGCAGTCGATAAGGCTGTTGCCCAGCCAGAGCTGAGAGACATGCTTTTCCAAACTTCAGCGTTTGAAAATTCCAACTCGGAGTGTCAAAAGGCCCTGCGACCTTTGAGAGCACAAAACGCTCCCTTAGAGAAGTATATACGGGCATGTGCTGACATAGGAACAGAATCCTATGAGGCTAATTTACTGGCTACTGCTTTAAAAGAAGGGGTCAGTTCATTTCCTCCCCTTACATAATAGTCCTAGGTTTCTGCTCACTAAAGCTCTTTTTGCTCTTAATTTTCTCAATCTCAGCAATGATGAAAAGACAGCTGCAGAACGCCATTGGACATCTCTCATTCATGCACCATCCTCTCCAGTACAACAACCTATCTTTTATAAAAAAACCGGATATGACAGAGTGGAAGCCAGGTTACATGCTGCAATGGGGTCGAGGCTTTCCCCATATTATTACAGAACATCAAGAAAAGCAGTAGCTACCAGCCCACTGGATTAAGCCTCGACACGAGCAGGAAACTTTACCAGCACCTTAAACAAGTTTGTTTTCACTAACCTTTCTTCTACAGGACCTTAGTTTAGGTGATTTCATAGTGGAGAAATCCTGGATCAATCTCCTCTGCGGGAACTCGAGCTGCCTCTCCCATGTCGCTGCCCAGTCTCAGCAGGAAGCAGTTAGGAGCGGTCAGCGCCCCTTTTCCCTGGTGAGGCAGCAGGAGCTTCTATGCAGAGTGGGAGGATTGATATGGGATTTCATTATTTTGGGCTGTATATTAAGCCCCAGGCAAGCTTAGGATGCATCGTCTAAACCATGGACAATTAGGACAACACAGACCTCGAACAAAAGGCTTTAAGGCAAATGTTATTCTGGTATTGGCAAGGTAAGAGAATTTCACTTGTTGGGTTCGTTTCTATTTCAGTTGGGCACCTGACCTTTCTTTACTTAAAGTTATACTGCTTTTTGGAAAGGGTCTGAGTTTGCAGCCCTTTCTCCACCTAAGCTTTGGGTGATGCTTAATACTTCCCATGGAAGCGTCATGAGCCCTATGGGTCAGCCCATAGCACATAGTTAAATGGTGATTAGCACATAGGGGACAAGTTTTCCCCCATGCCTAGTTTGACTAACATGAGTTTCCTTTATGTTCGAATTAGACGGTGCATTTTTGTTATGCTTATGTGCTCTTTTGTTTCTTTTACTCAGCAGAAAGCTCCTTGGTGAGGAGCGCAGAAACAACCAATGACAGACCTTCTCCCTTGCCTATTCAGAAATGTCTTTAATACATACACTAGAGGGGGGAAATGTAGGAGATGCCAAGAGCCAGATGACATCCGAGCAAGATGATCTGCAGCTGAGGTGTGGACCTCGGGCCATTCTTCCACAGGAGTTTCCTTGTGGAAGAAGAGCCCGTGGTGCCCTCAGCATGCAGTCATTGTTAATTACTCCCCTCACCTGTATCATTCCGTTTCAATAAAAGGCTGGTGCGGAGGTTGCTCAGGGCACCGAGACCAGGGCCATAGGAGCCCGATGGGTCTCGACACTCTAGAATTTTCTTTAAATTAAGGAGTTTTCTAGTTCAAAGGATCCATCTTCTGGTCATTTATAATTATAATTTTCTATTCATCTCTATTTCTATTCATTTCTATTCATTCAATATTCATTCCAAAAGAGACTCAGTTTAATAAGCCTCTTTATAGAAAGTCCTGGTGGTAGTCTGGTAGTCTTTCAGGTTTAGAGTTTCTCTCTCTCTCTCTCTCTCTCTTTTTTTTTTTTTTTTTGCAGTTTTTGGCCAGGATCGGGTTTGAAACCACCACCTCTGATATATGGGGCTGGCGCCCTACTCCTTGAGCCACAGCCACCACCCAGGTTTAGAGTAAGTTTTTACCATATAAGCTAGAGGTGTTCCTGTAGAGGACTTAGAGGAGACAGTTCCCATGATTTCCAAACCACTCTCAGAAATAGGTCTATATTAGAACAGATAATGACAAAAAGATTCACACCTCAGAGCTTGACAGATTGAGTACACACAGCCTGCTGCTTAGAATCTTACCTGTCTCGAACTTCCGGTCTTTCCAGACCGGCCACCTGACGTGTTCCCCGGACAAAACACACCCTCCAGATGGCAGATACTGAGGAGAGAGTTCCTACTCAGTCACAAAGTCAAGATCAGAGACATAGAACAGGACAAGAGGGAAACCTCATACGGTTTTTGTTTCAGGGATCTGCAACAAAGTTCATCTTAAAAGACAAGGGACCAACAGGAACCATATAACTGCTGGTATGTGGGGCTGGTTTGAACTATGGGCTGGTGTGTGTGTAAGGGGTGGGGGGTAGGCCCCAGCTCTGCCTTACTGTAACCCTCATTAGACAAAACGACACAGAAAGACAAACCATGAGACAAAAAACCCGACAATAACAATAAAAGCTATTTCTGAGAGGAGATGGTATCAAACAATACGAACATTCATACACCACAAAGTATCTAAAAATATACCAGTACCAGAGTTGCTTCCAAGACTAGTCACCAACAAAAACGTTTCTCTTATCAATCTTAAATATGGAAAGAACAAAAAAGATCTTTTGCTGTCTGCTCAACCAGAGCCCACAGAGAGGAAGCCTGGAAGCCCAACTGGTAAGTAAAATATCCCACCACGTGCTGGCTGGTGTCAGGGTCCAATCCTCCTACGTCGTGGCCTTCCGGAGAGCAATGGCTTTGATATCCCCTTCGTGACCCCAAACTGAAGGGGTCTCAGCGAAACTTGCCACTTTCCCCTGGTTTGGTTTGCTAAAAAGATGGACTCACGGTTATGGTAGATTAGTAAGACAAATGTTTATTTCCAAATACCATGTGCAGCGCTGGGGGGTGAGGTGGGGGCGGGGGAAACCACAAGAATGATTTCCCAAAATCTCGGTGATGGTCAGTGGCTTTTAAAGATACCTTTTAGAAGGGAGGGGGAAGAGTGGGGAAAGTATATGTGCAGCATTGCATTGCTAGGGGGAATGTGTGCTGACAGGTGGAAACAGTTTGATTTGCAGATTAACTCGGAGAGACAGGTCTGGTGCTTCAAAAGAACTTAGGGCCAGGTCTATTAGCATGTGATAAGGAGTCCAAAGGCCCTTTGAGATTTTAGGTAGATAGAGGAAAGTCTTCCTTTAGAGTTTCCTGATTATGAATAGCCTTCAATTCAAAATAATCGTTATACCAAGGAATCATGTTTTGGGGTGAAATTTCCTTAGCTCCTTCAAAAGTTTGGTGGACTTATCCCCATCTCTGCATATTGGCTGACAGTGACCGGCAGCTGGACCCTCTTTGTCTGGTAGCACTTATGAAGTACTGCTAACCACTTATACTGTCATAAAAATAAAAGAAAAATCCTCCTGGATTCCTGTGAGCCATGCCAAACTACACTAAAAATTAGAGGACAACCCCTACAGATGACCTGAAAGTAAAAATTTTCAGGGCCAGTTCCCAAGCCCCTGAAGCAGATGGCTTCATGAAGTAGACAACTTTTCCCAAGATCATGGATCAATGGATCCACTCTTTCATCTATAAATTCCTTTTCATCTTTTAAAACCTCTGCAAATGGTCCTTTTAGACACTTTGTTTAAGCCTCCCCCTTTAAGAATTGCACATTGGAAGCTTAGTGGAGATTACCTCAAGCTACCTCATTCTCCCTTTTATCTTCCACTATGGCTCTTCTTTCTAACTATGCCTTGCTCTGATTAGCCCTTACAGTTTTTCCAGCAGGTCAGACACAGACCCGGCTTCCCTTTATACCAGTCTTTCAAACCCTGGCCACACTAACTAATCAATCTAATTATTAGTTATGCCAACATCCAGATTATACAAAATAACATGAACTCATTTTTATTTCTGCCAACAGGAATGCCTGGTGAAACCAACCTGGAAGACAAGATGTGACATCCACAACCAGAGAAGAAACACACTGCTTCTCCT